TTAATGTCCCACTAAAATGCAAAGATGGTAAGTATTGAATTGCATGTGAATTACATATGGAGTGGGATTAGGGCAAAATAAAGTTCAATTTAAAAGTAATTCACACATGGCAGCAATGCTCATGTAACAATGATGTTTTCTAGTGATTGTTCATGTTCTCCCCCTAAGTTTTTTAAAATTAACAAATACAATGAAATATAGTTTGGCTATGTTGATTGTAAAGCTAAATAATCCTTGCCAGGGGTTTTTGCAACAAGCTAAATAAAACATCACAACAGAATTCAGGCCCTGATCTGCTATATTAAATCTATAAATTTGAACAGTAAATACATGTTGCTTCCCTCCACTCATCCCACTGCAATTTCTTTGGGTACTCACCACCCCAATCTTGGCTATTTTTACATTTTTGCATAACAGAAGTGAGCCATCAAAACCATGACTTCCAAAAGACTAGTGGAACTTGCCTTGATAACTTTAATATCAACTGTATGCCTGAATGGACTCATTAAAGCCTCCTACTTTTTTTCTAGCATAATTCCACCATTGTGTCTCCATTTTACTTGTCACTGAGATAAAATTAAGGATTCTGATCCTGCTGCATTCCAGGCTTCTGATGTACAGTGAATGTGAGCAGTTTGTCCTTGACTTAGAAAGTGCTCTTAGTTTAAGGATTCCAACTACACTGAAAGAACTCCTGATTCTGGAAGGCTTTATTTCATAGAATAAATAGTGTATCCATTGCAATACCTTGCTGTTTTTCATACCTATATAGCTGCAGGAAATCTCTGTTCACAAAATGAATGTGATTAATTTGCCTGAGGCAGTTGTTCTGCACCTGTGGGTGGCCAGATGTTTTGGCCTTCAACTCCCAGAAATCCTAACAGCTGGTAAACTGGCTGAAATCAACTTCAACTTCCAGAAATCCCAGCCAGTTTACCAGCTGTTAGGATTTCTGGGAGTTGAAGGCCAAAACACCTGGGGACCCACGGCTTGAGAACCACTGGTGCAGGGCAAAGCTATCCCCGGCAAGCTGTATGGCAGGGGTACACGGTGAGACTTATCACAAAATGTGGCTAGCTAACAAGACTAGTTTTGACAATCTGGTGCCCTCTAGTTTGTTTGGATTCTAATTCCCACCAACCAACAAACCTGGGGGGGGGGGGGGTAAATTTGTAGTCCAAAGCATCTGTATGCCATTGGGTTGAGGAACTCTGGAGTAGGTGAATTTAGGATTAATTAATTAATCTGCTAGCTGGGAAAAGATAATGTAATCCAAAGCATCCGATGAACATCAGTTTAAGGATGTTTGGAGTGAATTGTTTTGGAACAGATAGGTTTATCTACAGTTTTCAGACAAACTAGCTCAATGGACACCCCATGTTAAGATAATGTAATCCAAAGCATCCGATGACGTCAGATTAAGGAAGTTTGACCAAGTGGGAAAAATGTTGCAAAGACCAATAACATAATTATTATGAAAGTACATAACTGAGAAGTGGGGTTGTCTGCACCCTCTTTTTATAGGTTTCCCAGAAATGACAAGCCTAGATGGATCCTGGTTCAGGTTGAGAAAGTTCTTGTTTAATATTTGTAGAATAAACTGAAATAGTACACTGCAAAGCTGCCACAATTGCAGGAAGGAGACAAAGAAAAACTACTTGGAGGATTGCTTTACACTGGAACACACCAAATGTCCCCCAAATAAGAACAGTCTATTCTGTACAATTGGACAAACACCAATCTATATAAATCACAACACTGAATGCAGAAGTACTGTGTATGCAATGCTCTCAGATTTAGTGCCTCACATTTTCAATCTGGGAAGCCACCAGCCACCATTGCTTACAATGACCAAGTGGGAAACATGTTGGAGTGAGCGAAGACCGACAACATAATCTTATGGATGTTTATTAAAATCCCACTGAGTTCCATAGATCTTATTCCATGGTAAGCATGCAAACAATTGTTGCCACAGCAGATGATGCCCAAAAAGGAATGATTACCATAAGTCTAGACTCAAACTAAGATGAACACAAAGTAATGGGGTGGCAATGATGGTTTTACTTGTAAAAGGCTCAGTGGAAATAGGGATGCAACCTCAGTAGCTTTTAGGATCTTAGGTTATCCAAACCAATAAATATTTAGAGGACATACCTGTATTTACTTGTGCCTAATGTGCATTTCAATTTTCAAAACCCCGAAATGAAACAAAAAAAAAAGTATTTGCTGGTGAATGTAATGCGCAAAAAAAGAAGAAGCATTATTTGTAATTTGGCCAAAAAAGGTGCGCATTACAGTGGTTGCATGCTTATAAATCCTTCTTTAAAAACAAAAGTGTTAGAACACCAAAGCTCTCAGCAATGGAAAAGAAAACCTTGGGATACATCTACATTGTAGAATGAATCCACTTTAACTGCCCTTGCTCAATGCTATAGGGGTCATGGGGACTTTAATTTGGGATCATGAGGCTGTCAAAGAATACTGATGCCTCACCAAATGACACATCCCAGCATTGTATAGCATTGAGCCATGTCAATTAAATTAGATATGATGTCCCTCAGATAGGAGTTCCAGGTGCTCCTGAAGTAATTAGATCAGCCCCTTCTCTAATGGTGTTTTGAAGAAAACTAAAAACCTGGCTGTTTGAACAGGCATTCGGATAAATAGTGCAATGAACTCGATGAATATAGGAACGGAATTATGGATGACGAATTGGATCACGATTTTAGTTACGAGACGTTAATGTGTTGTTATTGAGATGTCATTAGTTTGTATTTTATACTGTTAATGGTTTTAATATTGTATGTTGTTGGATTGTCTTTTGCTCTTGTTGTGAACCGCGTTGAGTCACCTACGGGCTGAGAAACTGCGGTATACAAGCAAAGTAAATAAATAAATAAGTAACTTCCCCGTTTGCTTTGGCTCAGCACTAAGATTAGTTACTGTATTATGTGAATCTAATGTGCACCCTAAGCTAGTTTGGAGAAGGTAATTTAGTAAAAAAAAATGTGAGCATTAGATTCGAGTAAATACAGTATCAAATGACTTTCACCCCAATGCAACTTTTTCTGCAGATCCTCCTGTTGTTGAATACAAATCTTATCATCAAGTTTTGATATATATATATTCTAAGATAAATGGCCACTTTCTTATATTAAAAAAGGAAGTATCTCCCAGAACCCTATCCTTTGTTCTACCTTTTCTTTGGGGACAAAATGACAACTTCCAAAACCTCATAATCCGAACTACAGCCTGTTCCCAAACTTCTTCCTGGTTGTTTCCATTATAAATTCAAAGCTATTTAAAACACGGTCTTTAAAATACTCGAATAGAGAGAGAAAAAATATTAACTATGAGAGGTCTATTCATATCCAACAGACAAAGGAAGCCCGAGACGAAATGGGTGGAAACATTGCTGCAGTAATGTTATGAGATATAGATTTTTTTTACAACAAGGCTAATTAACCAGTGGACCAAAATGCAAGTGAATGTAGAGGTGCCTCTGTTATTTAGAATCTTTCACGCTTGGGATTGCAAGGCCTGCTGTGGCTCAACCTCACCTCAGGAAGCTGGGAGGCCTGTTGTCAGCTCAATATTTCACAAAATCAGGGATGCAGCAGAGCAAACCTTGAGCATCCCAGAGAGCTGAAGCATTAGAAAGTGTATTAACGTTTGATTGTTCAGGAGAAAGAAGAAAGAATCAGAGTAAAAAATGAACAAGCAGTACTTGTTATTGAGAAGAATCCTCCATCATCTTAAGAATCATCAAGTTGGAAGAGATTATGAGGTCCATTCAGCCCAAGCTCCATACTTAGGTATGGAGCAGAGATGCTAAGAAATTGTGAAGAAGCCTGGTGTAGTGGTCTGAGTGCTGGACTAAGACTCAAGACCAGGATTCAATTTCCCATTCAGCATAGAACCCCTGAGTGACCGTGTGAGTCAAGCACTCCTAGCCCTAGACGGCCCTGTGTTAGGTTTTTCTTAGGGTCGCCATAAGTTGGAAGTGACTTGGAGGCACACAATAATTAAAATAGTAGCATACCAGCAAGAGTGTCCTGATGTTTATTAGTCTCTACCAATGCTAATCAGCAATTCCTAGCCCATGTCCCATTGTGCATTGGTCACTTCACTGGCTTACCTATGTAGAAATGACATTAGCAGAAGTCACAGAGCTGTCCAATTCTAATTCCTGAAGATATAATGTTCTCTTACAAAGATATAAGTTTCCAACAGAAATTATGTCATCAACATCATCACCACCGCCATCAACACTGACAGTCTATCATGTGCTACAAACTGAAGTTCTGGACCATAGGATCACATTCTGTCCAAGAATTTGATAATCACTGGATTAATGCTAGATAATGTGGCTCATTCCAAGTAGCGTCACACCATCATGATTATTACCATTATCACGGTCATCATTATTATCTTGATTGCTTTCGCAGTCTACTAGGCATTGCCACCTGGAGTTTCTGACCATTGATTAATCATATTCTAACAGAAAATAATGAATCAATGAGTTATAAACCACAGATAACAGAGCAGGTTCCAAGCAGTGCTACATCAGCATCACTATTATTCTTATTGTAATTGCTGAAGTATTTATTAATTGCTTGTCCACCCACTAGAGATTTTGTAACCAGAGGGAAGGATTCAAATCCTGTATCTCCAGTGTCATAGACTGATGCTTAAACCTGCTGTGCATTGAGCTCCAGTTTACCAAATGACAACCTCTAGAATTCCATAAGATGCAAATATGGTAATTAAAGTGGAATCCTAGTGTTTTAATTATCTAGTGTCAAAGGGCCCCTGCAGGGTATTGGCACTACTTTGGGGGGAAGGAAGGTTGTAACGGAAAGGGGGAAAGTCCTAATTTCACCAGTACTGGATAATTAAGTATGTCATTGGGCCTTGGCAAAGAGCAGGAACATGTTCCATTTTTGGTTTAAAAAACTACGCATGCGTGCACATGCTTTGCTATATCTTTTCAAGCTCACCTTGTGCTTATTAGTCTTCTACAGCAAGTGTCCTGCATTGGGCAACAAGGTGGGTCTGGATCAATTTTCTGCCTCCTCCACCAGCCCTTCAAAGTTGTACAGACCACTAAAAACACCAAATAAACAAACCAACCCATTATTAGTTTTGAAAATATGATTTTAAAAAATTAAACAGTGCAGAGGACAGAGGATTAGTAAAAAGATGAATTGCCACTCCTGGGGCCCATTCGTACCAAGCAATTGTAACACTATCACTCCACTTTAACTGCAGTCATTCTATCTTATGCTGTTCTGGAGTTTGTAGTTTGATGAATTCTATATCCCCATCCTTAAAATGTGAATGTCAGGATTCCATGTGATTGAACCATAGCAGTTAAAGTGGAATAAAAGCATTGTAATTGTGTGGTATGAATAGGTCCACAGAAATCTTCAGCAAGTCACAAACACCTCTTTTTTGGTCAAAAAGGAGGGGATGGTTTGGGGAATTGGGAGAAGGTTGCAAAACCCACAGGCCTCCAGAGGGTCTTACTTTGCCCACTCTGATCTATCTATTTCAGAAGGGGAATTCGATCAGACACTGTTTTCAAGCAATTCTTGCATCCCAGGTCTGCAAATTAAACCCAATGCACACTGAAGCAGCTGCAGTTTTTTTGGGTGTTCAGTTGGCAAGTCAACTCTCCTTTGCAGAGAGCTGCTGAAAGCTAGCTGAGCTGCAGTCTGAGCATGCAGTGAAGTGTACTATATGGATGCCAAAAGCTGCGGGCATCTGATCATCTTGCATACCTGTGTCCCTGATCCAACAATGGAGATTATTTTAGGACAGGAAGAAACTGCTTGTGTGCTGGGATAATCATACTGTCCAGACAGGGCAAGGAGAGAGAATCATTGGGAGTTGGTCTGCAACAGAGAAATATGGGAATAACTCTTTCTGGATTGTATCAGTTCTTCTCTCCGATGTACACACAAGAGATGTGTGTGCATCACATGCTTGAATGCTTCCTGAAAGTGTGCGTGCTGAATCATTGCACCTATAAAACTAGTACATCAAACAGGGAAGATGGTTGCTTCCATGTCAGTGGATTAATGAATCTACCTTGACTTCTTGTCTGAACTTTAGAGAAGTTATCAGTGATGCTGAACCCTACTCTCCACACTTTTAATAGTTTCTTTAAAGTTCAGACTAAAATCCAGAATTGGTGCACTGTCCTAGAAAGCCACCAACTGCTACTGAGCAAAAAGAAGTATTAGCTTTTTGTTGAAGTGGATTTAAGTTGCATTGATGGTTGTAAAGAGGCCTCTGAATCCACTTTTATTAAAATGACAGACTAGACTAGTAGTTCCCAACCTTAGTTGCTCCAACCTTTTTTTAGGACTTTAACTTGCAGAAGCCCCATTCAGATTGGCTAATTGTCAGGAATTCTGGGAGCTAAAACCAGAAATACCTTCTATGGATAAAGCTACACAAACATACCTCTGCTACTGTCAATGGACTGCCATGGAAGAGCAAGACATCTTTCAATGTTGATGAAAAGGGAAGGGCTAGCAGGTAACACTTCTGTATTTTATTTAGTGCATATCTGGAACACCAGAACAGAGCATGTATGAATATGATAGCTCTGTCTTAGAGTATATAAAGTATGATCCAGCTCTCTGGGGATTATTTTTTATTGATTGATTGTTTTCAATGGAAGAGTGCAACTACTCTTCTCCACTTCCAAAACTTGATCTTCGTTTTATTTTTTCAACTGATTTGATGTGTTCACTTTGTTTAGCAAGTCCAGTAACATCCTGCTTTTGGGACATTTCCCGAAGCAGAGCTTAATTTTCTACTTAATTCATGAATTTTCAAAATGATCTGTTTTTGTTTTTGTTTTTTTCTCTTTTGACAAAGAATGGTATGTGGCTTCTCAATACTGCCCCCTAATGGCACACTTTGTTACTGATTCTTCATCTATGTTCTTTTTGTCATTCTCAACCTTCCCACAAAATTAGATGAAGATACTGAACTAGATATTCTAATTTTTTGTAATTAATTTCTGATGGCAAATAAATTAGTTTGTTAACCCTTGTTGGAGGAAGGGGATGCCAAATGGGTAGTGGTAGTTAGCATACATTCCAGTGGGGGCAGTAGATAATAATAATGTCCCCAAGACATCTTTTTACTATGACACTTTAACTTTATATAGATTGCAGACAATGGGCTGCTCAGAAAACCAAATGAACAAGTAGTATCTTATTTTAATAAGGTTTTTCGGTTCTGAGTGTGAGCCGTCACAATGTAGAAGCTCTCTCTGTTCCTATCCTCCCCTTTATCCTGACTTCCCCTGAAAGAACCCCACAAAAAGAACCCCACAAAAAGAACCCTATTATCCTAGCAACCATGTGAGGTCAGTAAATGTGAGAAGACGGCAGCCTGACTAACGTCACTCAAGGTAGCCTCATAGCTGAGCAGAGATTTGATTCTCTCATTCACATCCCCAACAACGCTGCACCCCGTTGCCTCTGTTGAGATCTTCATATGACTCACTCAGGCTTCTGTGTGCTTTGACTACCTGCTTTCCAGGCTGGTCTGAACACCGACAAACTTAAGAGGATAGTCAAAGATATATTTCGTATGTGGCAAAAATAAATAAGCGTGCCAGGAGAGCACGGGTTGCCAAGAAGAGCAGAAATTTGAGCAGCATATTCTTATTCTGCATGCAAACAAATCTTCTCCCTTCCCTGCCTCCCTTCTATCCCACCCTTCATTAAGTCAAAGACTGAAACCATCAACATCCTCTGTGAGGTGAAATGACGGAAGCTACAAGACCCCAGTTCAGCCTTTTTGATAGGCTGTTGCCTTGTTTTCCTACCACCTGTACTGAGGCAGCGTTTTTATGCCATGACAGTAGTGTTGCTATGGCAATAACTCTTTCCTACTAGATGGCAAACACACAGACACACACCAACAAACCTAAACATACTGCAGCAAAATGACAAAAAGGGCATAATCCGCCAGGAACATCTCCAGCACAAAGCTTTCAGTAGGAGAACTTCCAGCTGCATTATGATCCAAGGGGTTTGTTCAGCCATATAAAGCACCCCCCTCCCAATGGGACACTTTGTTATTCTTTACTGATAAATAAATCTCAATTTCTTCTCTTCCATTTGCTACGGCTCCTTCATTTTTCACTTAAACTCCATGAAGACAGGATTTTGAAACACGTCTATCATATAAATATCATGAAGTCAATAAACTCACTGCTAATTGCCTTTACTGGGCACACACAGATCGCTTTGCGTTGCTTAGGTTTGTCTATAGACAAGCCAACTCCTGGAAACAGGAAGAGAAAACTCAACCTATTTGCTTAAAGATAACCAAGCAAAACTTTGCACTCAATTACATCCTCTCCCTGCCTTGCCCTTCCCATGTTTTGAGTCAAACCTTTTCCTTCACTTACTCTCCTGTCCTTTCCTACATTAGATTGTTTTGGAGGTGCACAAAGGTTCAGAATCACCAAAGCAAGGGAAAACGTGCTCTGCATGAAAGTTTGTTGTCATTTTTGTAGGATTCAGTACATCAGATAGAACTAGATATACACCCATAGTAAGGCTGGGCTCATGCACAGCTAAAAAGCTTGACTCATTCTGTGTAAGAGCACAGCTGCCAGTTAAAATCTCTCCCTTGTTTCATGCCTACACACATCTTCTTATGAATGGTCAAAGCAGAACGGTTGGGATGTATTGTAAACACCAGCTAGTTGCACACAGGCCTTGACTTAGTTCTCTTTACTGCATAACAACAGCAGGGTTAAAAGGAGCAAAGATCTACTTCACAGGCCTCTGACCATTAACAACAACAACAATTGTTTACAATATCCTTTCCAACAAAGGGCAGAACAAGATATTCATGCAAGATATAGCCTAAGCAGCATTGTTAAAGGGAGCAAAGATCAAGTCTCTGGAATAAGCATTAACAACAACAACAGCAACAGCAACAACAACAACAACAACAACAACACAATAATATTTATTCATAGCACCATTTCCAACAATAGGCTAAACTAGGCATTCATGCAAAATATAGCCTAAGCTGTAGAGGTAAAGGAAGTGAAGATCTACTAACAATAAGAACAACAACAACAACAACTTATAATGACATATCCAACAAGATATTCATGCAAGATATAGCCTAAGCAGTATAGTTAAAGGGAGCAAAAATCTCCTTCAAGGCTCTGGAATGACCATTAATAACAACAGCACAGGGTTGTTGCAAGTTTTTCGGGCTGTATGGCCATGTTCCTGAAGCATTCTCTCCTGACATTTCACCTGCCTCTATGGCAGGCATCCTCAGAGGATGCAGGCAAAACGTCAGGACAGAATGCTTCTGGAACATGGCCATACAACCCAAAAAACTCACAACAACCCAGTGATTCTGGCCATGAAAATCTTCGACAATGCAACAACACAACATTTATTAACAACCATCTTTCCAACAAAAGGTTGAACAAGGCATTTAAATAAACCATAGGGTGGATCTACACTGTCATGTTATGCAGTCTGGAATTTCATTATATGGTCAGTGTCAACCCATACAATGCAGTTCAATGCAATTCAAACTGCATAATATTGGTCTACAATAACAATGAAGATCCAGCCATAGCCTAAGGAGCAGAGCTAAAGGGAGTAAAGATCTAATACTTCCAAATCTCTGGAATGACAACAACAAACATTAATTATATTGCCATTTCCAACATAAGATAGAACAAAACATTCTTGCCAAATATAACTTAAGTAGCAGGAGCTGGACTGGGTTGCTATGAGTTTTCCCGGGCTGTATGGTCATGTTCCAGAAGCATTCTCTCCAGGAGCTGGACTTCTGATCCTGACCTTGCATCTGAGAAAAGTTCTCTCCTGTGCGTTTTTTTCTGAATACATTACTCAGGCATCCAAGTTGTACACATGTCTTGCGTCTGGGACTGAGTCCAATCCCTTTGATTGGTCTGGCTTCCCTGTGATAGGTAGCCAACATCGCAAGTGTCCTCTAATACCTTTCAAGGGAGGAATGACAACCCTAAAGGAACCACAGCTTTGGAAAGAAATGGTATGAAAGTCAAAGCACTCATGACTTGGACTAAAGATGTGTCTGTTTGTTCCACTGAAAAACAGATGCACATCAGAGATCCCTGAATCCCCATTGTAGGTATATCAGCCTCTTTCCTTCTTTCTCAACCCATCCAACAAACTGATGTGGACAACAATCCGTTCCTTGAGTCTCTCCCTATTAACAAAGTGCCCAACACCATCCATGCAAAGATGACTGAACTTCTTTGCATAGTTCTTCCTGCTTGAATCAGTTTTCCTTTCTCGGATGGGTTGACACATTTAAAGAAAGTGAGTAAAGACAGGATTTTACTAGGAAGGAACCGGTTGTACTAGGCAGCTGTGAGTTTTTTGAGTTGTATGGCCATGTTCCAGAAGCATTCTCTCCTGACGTTTTGCCTGCGCCTATGGCAGGCATCCTCAGAGGTTGTGGGGTCTGTTGGAAACTAGGAAAATGGGGTTTATATATCTGTGGAATCTCCGGGGTGGGAGAAAGAACTCTTGTCTGTTGGAAGCAACTGGCCACCTTGATTAGCATTTAATGGTCTTGCATTTTCAAGGTCTGGCTGCTTCCTGCCTGGGGGAGTCCTTTGTCAGGAGGTGCAACCTTGATGCAGGCAAAACGTCAGGAGAGAATGCTTCTGGAACATGGCCATACAGCCCAAAAAACTCACAGCAACCCAGTGATTCCAGCCATGAAAGCCTTCGACAATACATTTTTAAAGGTGGAAAGATTTCCTTTAAAAATAAATAGGTGCAAAGTGAGCTCCTCATATACTCCTGTGTTCTTGTTTTAGCCCGGTCAGCATACCAGAGGGTGCATCTACATTGTAGAATTCATACTGTTTGATGCCACTTTAACTGCCATGGCTCAATGCTATGGAATCACAGAAGTTGTAGTTTCACAATGTCTATAGCCTTTTCTGCCCAAGAGTGCTGGCACCGCACCAAACTACAACTCTGATGATTCCACGGCATTGAGGCATCCTCAGTGGTGTCAAACTGCATTAATCCTACAGTGTAGCTGAACCCAGACCTGCCCCGGATTCATTGCCCCCAACAGGAGGGATAGATTGGGAGTGCAGTTCTGCAATGCATGGGATTTAATACATACAGAACTCAACTGGTTTGTGGACTGAATATATAGGTGTGTGTGTGTGTGTGTATTCCGAGCCTTAACCAGAGAGATCCTGCAATGCATGAGGTTGAATATATACTGAACTCGATGGGATCAAACTCCATGGGACTGAATATATAGCTCTCTCTCTCTCTCTCTGTGTGTATATATTTTGAGCCCTAACCAGAGAGATTCTGCAGTGCATGGGATTGAATATATACTGAACTCGATGGGATTGAACTCCATGGGACTACATATTTTTTTCTGTGTGTGTGAGTGTGTGTGTGTGTATTTTGAATCCTAACCAAAGGGATTATGCAGTGTAAAGGATTGAATATATACTGAACTCAATGGGATTGAATTCCATGGGACTGAATATATAGGCATGTGTGAGTGTGTGTGTTTTGAGCTCTAATCAGAGAGATCCTGCAGTGCATGGGATTGCATATATACTAAACTTGATGGGATTGAACTCCCTGGGACTGAAAAATATAGGCATGTGTGTGTGTGTATTTTGAGTCCTAACCTGAGTGATCCTGAAGTGCATGGGATTGAATATATAGCAAACTTGATGGGATTGAACTCCATATATAGGTGTGTGTGTGTGTGTGTGTATATTTTGAGCACCAACCTGAGGGACTATGCAGTGCAAAGGATTGTATATATACTGAACTCGATGGGATAGAACTCCATGGGACTACATATATAGGTGTGTGTGTGTATTTTGAGCCCTAACCAGAGGGATTATGCAGTGCAAAGGATAGTATATATACTGAACTCGATGGGATTGAACTCCATGGGACTGCATATATAGGCATGTGTGTGTGTGTGTGTGTGTGTATTTTGAGCCCTAACCAGAGGGATTATGCAGTTCAAAGGATTGTACATATACTGAACTCGATAGGATTGAACTCCATGGGGCTGCATATATAGGTGTGTGTGTGTGTGTATTTTGAGCCCTAACCAGAGGGATTATGCAGTGCAAAGGTTTGTATATATACTGAACTCAATGGGATTGAACTCCATAGGACTGCATATATAGGCATGTGTGTGTGTGTGTGTGTGTGTGTATTTTGAGCCCTAACCAAAGAGATTCTGCAGTGCATGGGATTGAATGTATACTGAACTCTTTGGTACTGAACTCCATGGGACTGAATATATAGTCGTGTGTGTATTCTGAGTCTGGTTAGGAGATCCTGCAATGCATGAGATTGAATATATACTGAACTTGATAGGATTGAGCTCCATGGGACTGAATATATAGGTATGTGTGTGTGTGTATTTTGAGCCCTAACCAAAGAGATTCTGCAGTGCATGGGATTAAATGTATACTGAACTCTTTGGGACTGAACTCCATAGGACTGAATATATAGTCATGTGTGTATTCTGAGTCCTAACCAGAGAGATCCTGAACTTGATAGGATTGAGCTCCATGGGACTGAATATATAGGCATGTGTGTGTATGTGTGTGTATTTTGAGCCCTAACCGGAAAGATTCTGCAGTGCACGGGATTGGATATATATAGAACTCGATGGGATCTAACTCAATGAGACTCTGCGTGCGTGTTGCATAGTTATTGTGAGCTCTATCTAACCACGTAGTATATGCGGCTGAATATATAAAGTAGATGGGACAGAAAAGTCTACCTACTGTGAGCCCTAACTAACCAAGCGGATGAGCTCTCCCAGCCAAACCAGGTAGCCCTTACCTTTCAGGAGCGAGCAAGCAGCAGCCCGGGCGAAAGGAGAACCAGGATGACCTTGCAGAGAAATGCCTCCTCGGAGCAGGAAAGGCGCCTTCTTCTGCTCCCCCGAATCTTCCCCGATCCCGCGAAGGAGGACACCCTAAAACACAGGCACACACAAGACAGCCAGCGAACACACTCCGCTGACAAAACCTCCGAGAAGGCGCTACAAGTCGGAAGCGCCGGAGAAGCAGGAAGGAGGAGGAGGAGGCGGAAGCGAGAGGTAGTGGCGGTGCTGCTCGTGCTGCTGCTGCTGCTGCTGCTCTTGGAGGCGCGCAGGTACCTCCCCAAGAGAAGGAGGAGGAGGAGGAAGGCGGAGGGGAGGTTCTTCGGCTGCCCGGCAAGGAGGGGATGTTTCCGCTTAGAGAGCCGCCGGAGGGGTGCCCGCTCTCCCCGCTTGGCTCGGTGGCGTCACCAGCAGGGCATCTACACTGTGGAATGAGTACAGTTTGACACCACTACAACTGCCATGGCTCAGGGCAAAGGACTGGCACAGACACAGTGAAAACATCTGCCCTTGCGCTATGCTACTCTGCTGCTGAGTGTGCATGCCCAGCGTGGAACACATCTCACCACGCTAAAACAATAGATGTGGCTCTTAATGAGACATGCCGCATTATCAGGGGGTGTCTGCACCCACCATGATAGGCAGGCCATTAATAACTCCAAATTCTCCCACTGGTTTAGACTGTACAAACTTGACCATGATAGGGCTATCTACCTGACTAGGCTCACATCCCCAAAACTTAGACAAGCCTTCACTGCCCTTCGTTTTCAAAGTATGCCCACAGCAGTGATTGATGGCAGATATATGGGCACCCCTCTGGCTCTTCGTTTATGCATTTGCGGGGCCGGAAATTGAGGATCTGCCTTACTATTTGCTTTTCTGCCCTTTATATTCTGATCCAAGAACCAAAATCCTGGGGTTTATTCTTTATTCTTCACCTCCTTCAGACCAACACTGTGTCCAAAAAGATTTTCTATCTCTTGGCTGACACTAACCCCGTGGTTACTCAAAAGGTGTCTCTTTTTGCCCTGGCAGCACAGAAAATCCAGGCAAAACTAATCTCTGATATTGTAGTTGACTGTGCTGGAGATGCTTTCAACTAATAGTGGCTGTTTATGTAGTTTTAATAATGCTGTATCTATTTGCTTTCACTTGGTTTTTAATTACGCAGGTGAGTCTACACATTATGTAGTATTTTAAAAGTGCATCTTGCCATCGATATATGTAGCATTTTAATGATTTATAGGATTTATAGGATTTTAATGATTTATAGGCTGGTCCATGAGGTCACGAAGAGTCGGAGACGACTGAACGAATGAACAACAACAGGATTTTATTGTGTATTTTATATTGTATTTAATAATCTGGTGTTCATGTATTTATTTATTTGCCTTGCCTTGTATGTGAAAGACCTATGGTCTAAGCATCGAATAAACTTGCCACAAACATCCGCTGGGAAGTAGCAACCAATAGTGAAAGGACCAAGGCAGTGACATCTCCAGCTCATCCCCTGTTTGGCTATCAGCCAGCATGTCAACGACTTAAATCAAGAAATAGTTTTCTAAGATCTACAGAGAGACTCGCTGGAACACCTCAGCAAGCGGGAAGATCTACAGAGAGACTCGCTGGAACACCTCAGCAAGCGGGAGTCCAAAAGTGGCAGGCTCAAACCCAGAACCTCAATCAATGGCTGATACCAAATGAGAGCTTCCCCCCTGGGCACACAGAAGACTGGGCGACTTGGAAGGCGCTGAACAGACTGCGCACTGGTACCACGAGATAGAATCATAGAATCATAGAATCAAAGAGTTGGAAGAGACCTCATGGGCTATCCAGTCCAACCCCCTGCCAAGAAGCAGGAATATTGCATCCAAATCACTCCTGACAGATGGCCATCCAGCCGCTGTTTAAAAGCTTCCAACGAAGGAGCCTCCACCACACTCCGGGGCAGAGAGTTCCACTGCTGAACGGCTCTCACAGTCAGGAAGTTCTTCCTCATGTTCAGATGGAATCTCCTCTCTTGTAGTTTGAAGCCATTGTTCCGCATCCTAGTCTCCAGGAAAAGCACCTTGGTTTTTTCAATGTTCAATGACAAGCCGAGCTTCTCGTATGCTTCTGCAAAGGTGTTTAGAGTGGCTTGTAGATCTTCTTCTGAATGCGCACAGACGACGTTGTCATCAGCATACTGGAGTTCTATAACAGATGTTGTTGTAACCTTGGTTTTGGCTTTCAGTCTGCTGAGGTTGAATAGCTTGCCATCTGTCCGATATATGATTTCTACTCCGGTGGGAAGCTTCCCATCGACAAGGTGAAGTATCATAGCGATGAAGATGGAGAATAAAGTTGGGACAATAACACATCCCTGTTTGACACCCGATTCCAGCAGGCACCAGCCATCCCCTCCCCAATGCCAGTGATAGAGCTTAATGGTGTAACATTAGAAAATGTTGATCATTTCCGCTACCTTGGCAGCCACCTCTCCACCAAAGTCAACATCGACACCGAAATACAACACCGCCTGAGCTCTGCAAGCGCAGCATTTTTCCGAATGAAGCAGAGAGTGTTTGAGGACCGGGACATCCGTAGGGATACCAAGGTGCTTGTTTATAAAGCTATTGTCCTCCCAACCCTGCTCTATGCCTGTGAGACGTGGACTGTCTACAGACGTCACATGCAACTCCTGGAACGATTCCATCAGCGCTGCCTCCGGAAAATCCTGCAAATCTCTTGGGAAGACAAGCGGACGAACGTCAGCGTGCTGGAAGAAGCAAAGACCACCAGCATTGAAGCGATGGTCCTCCGCCATCAACTCCGCTGGACCGGCCACGTTGTCCGGATGCCCGACCACCGTCTCCCAAAGCAGTTGCTCTACTCCGAACTCAAGAACGGAAAACGGAATGTTGGTGGGCAGGAAAAGAGATTTAAAGATGGGCTCAAAGCCAACCTTAAAAACTCTGGCATAGACACTGAGAACTGGGAAGCCCTGGCCCTTGAGCGCTCCAGCTGGAGGTCAGCTGTGACCAGCAGTGCTGCAGAATTTGAAGAGGCATGAATGGAGGGTGAAAGAGAGAAACGTGCCAAGAGGAAGGCGCATCAAGCCAACCCTGACCGAGACCGCCTTCCACCTGGAAACCAATGCCCTCACTGCGGAAGAAGATGCAGAGCAAGAATAGGGCTCCACAGCCACATACGGACCCACAAGAATATTGGAAGACAATCATCCTCGGAAAGCGAGGGATCGCCTAAGTAAGTAAAAGTCTCCAGGGAAGCAGAAAACAAGCTTGCCCCCTCCTCCCTGTGGCTTCCTCTCACATATTTATACATGGCTATCATATCTCCTCTCAGCCTTCTCTTCTTCAGGCTAAACATGCCCAGCTCCTTAAGCCGCTCCTCATAGGGCTTGTTCTCTAGACCCTTGATCATTTTAGTCACCCTCCTCTGGACACATTCCAGCTTGTCATCTCCTGTTTGGGTATCAGCCAGCACATCAACGACTTAAATCAAGAAATAGTTTTCTAAGATCTACAGAGACACTTGCTGGAACACCTCAGCAAGCGAGAGTCCAAAAGTGGCAGGCTCAAACCCAGAACCTCAATCAATGGCTGATACCAAATGAGAGACTCTCCCCTGGGCACACAGAAAACTGGGCGACTTGGAAGGCGCTGAACAGACTGCGCTCTGGCACCACGAGATGCAGAGCCAACCTTAAGAAATGGGGTTACAAAGTGGAATCCACGACATGCGAGTGTGGAGAAGAGCAAACCACAGACCACCTGCTGCAATGCAACCTGAGCCCTGCCACATGCACAATGGAGGACCTCCTTGCAGCAGTACCAGAGGTACTCAAAGTGGCCAGCTACTGGTCAAAGGACATTTAGTATAATGCCAAGTTTTAAAACTTTGCTTGTGTTTTTAAATACATTACAACTGTACCCTCAGTTCACTTCTGACACAATAAATAAATACCAAGAAGACAAATCCCAAGGTTCCACAGCCAAGGCAGTTGAAATGGTGTCTAACTGCAGCATAGCTGCACCCTAGGACACCATCACTACATTTTTATTTATTTATTTATTTATTTATTTATTTATTTATTTATTATTTGCCACATTTGTACCCTGTCCTTCTCAACCCCGAGGGGGACTCAGAGCGGCCTCACACATCAGCAACAATTCAATGCCTTAAAATAACATACAATTGGTAAACATTTACATTAAAAACCAAAGAATTAAAAACATCTAAAACAAGTACATCAATTATTAAAATCTTATCATCCAAGGTTGTAAACCAGAGCCATTCCAATTGTCACTGTACAGATTCTGTGTTCATTTATTGCACTCCAGTTATTCTAAAAGCTTGGTCCCATTGCCATGTTTTTCCCCAGAAGACTAGAAGGGAAGGAGGTGGTTCAATATCACTGGGGAGGGAGTTCTACAGCTGAGAAGGCCCTCACTGTCATTCGTCCCCATCAACCGCACCTGCGAAGGAGTTGGGACTGAGAACAGGGCCTCCCCAGGAGATCTTAATCTCTGTGATGGTTTATAGAGGGAGATATGTTCGAGCAGGTAAGCTGGGCCAGAACCATTTAGGGTTTTATAGGTGAAAGCCAGCACTTTGAATTGTGCTCGGAGCAAACTGGCAGACAGTGGAGCTGATGTAACAGGAAATTGTATGCTTCCTGTATGTCACTTCAGTGAGCAACCTGGCTGCTACCCGGTGGACTGCTTGAAGCTTCTGAACAGTCTTCAAAGGCTACCCCATGTGGAGCACATTGCAGTAGTCTATTTGGGACATAAAACAGCATAGGCTACCATAGCCAGGTCTGACTTCCCAAGGTACGGGTGCAACTGGTCCACAAGTTTTAATTGTGCAAATGTTTCCCTGGCCACCGCCAAAACCTGGGGTTCCAGACTCAGCTATGAGTCCAGGAGAACTCCCAAGCTGTGAACCTGAGCTTTCAGCGGGGAATGTAACCCTGTCCAGCACAGGCTGTAACTCTATACTCTGTTCAGCCTTGCGATTGACCAGGAGTATCTCTGCCTTGTCTGGACTCAGTTTAAATTTGTTCACCCTTTGTTCACATTGAGAATAAAGGGGATGGAAAGCTGTGTCTGCTCTAGGTAGAAGTGGATGCGAATCAGATCAGGATTAAATAAGAAAGGGCTCTTCCACACAGCCATATAATCCACAGGGTGTCACCCCAGGTGACACCATCACAGCATTTAAAGGGAATGAAATTCAAACTACTCATGTTAAAATGATGCATTTGATCCAGGTAAAGGGGGACGCAAGTCAGATAAGGTCTGAAGAATTGGAAGGCCATCTGTCAGGGGTGCTTTGATTGTGTTTTTCCTGCATGGCAAGGGATTGAATTGGATGGTCTGTGTGGTGTCTTCCAACTC